CCAACCCTTTGGGCCTGGCTGTCCAGACAGTTTTTAACCCAGCAGAACACATACCCATCCAAGCCACGAGCCGCCAGCTTCTCCAGGAGAATGCTGTGGGAAATGGTGTCAAAGGCTTTACTACAGTCCAGGTAGACAAAACTGACAGCCTCTCTCTCATCCACTAAGCGAGTCACCTTGCCATAGAAGTTCAGGGTGGTCAAGCAGGACCTGCCCTTCACAAACCCATGCTGGCTGGGCCTGATCCCCTGGTTGCCCGGTACGTGCCGTGTGATGGCACTCAAAATGATCTGCTCCATAACCTTCCCCAGCCCCGAGGTCAGGCTGACAGGCCTGTAGTTCCCTGGATCCTCCTCCCATCCCTTCTTGTAGATGGTGTCACATTGGCCAACCTCCAGTCACCTGGGACCTCCCTGGTGAGCCAGGGCTGCTGGTAAATGATGGAAGGTGGCTGGGTGAGCACTTCCGCCAGCTCCCTCAGCACCCTTGGGTGAATCCCACCGGGTCCCATAGACTTGTGGGTGTCTAAGGGGTGTAGCATGTTGATAACAGTATCTTCTTGGATTATGGGGGGGTTCATTCTGCTCCCCATCCCTTTCTTCCAGTTCTGGGGGCTGGTTATCCAGAGAACAACTAGTCTTGTTACTGAAGACAGGCAAAGAAGGCATTAAGTACCTCAGCCTTTTCCTCAGCCTCTGTTAGTATGTTCCCCATACTCTAGGATATCTCTGGATAGAGATTCTCCGCAGCTCTCCTTTTGTTGTTAATGTACGTACAGAAACATTTTTTTATTGTTTTTCTCAATAGTAGCTGGATTAAGTTCTAGAAAGCTCAGTAACTCACAAGGATGGGTGCAGGGTTAGGGATCACCAGCCAGAATTATCTCAAGGGCTCAACTCCAGGAAGGTTTTTCAGGGCACCCTCGAGACCATGGACATTTCTGGCCACATCCTCCAATGCGAATCAAGTTTCTGTCCTTAGTGCCATCCCTCCAGATATCCTCCTCAATGTCTTCCTGGCCATCGCAGTTGATAACCTGGCTGAAGCTGAGAGCCTGACCTTAGCCCAGAAGGCCAAAGCAGAGGAACGTAAGCGACGGAAGATGTCCAGGTGAGTGCTGCAGTCCCTGGCAGTGGGAGTGGTCAGACCAGGTGCTTTGGTGTGAGGGGACAGAACGGCATTGCCCATGCCCCTCCCCAGAGTTCAGTTCCTGCTTTCCCCTCCTCTCCACACAGAGGCTACCCAGAGAAGTCTGAAGATGAGAAGCTGATGCTGGCAAAGAAGCTTGAGCAGAAAGTAAAGGGAGAAGGGATTCCCACAACAGCCAAGGTCAGTGCTGGTGGGACTGGGCCTCTGGGAGTTCCTGGTGAGGGACCAGGCTTCTCCTCCCACCAGCCGGGACTGACAAAGACTTGGAGCCAGCCTGGGTCTGGACTCTCCTGGGTCAGAATTGCTCATCACCTTGGCATCCTCTGGTGATGGGGCTGTCTGGGCCCAAGCAGGACATGTTGCCTTGTGAAACAGGTCCATTGCTCTGGATTCTTTTCCTCTGATTCATTTCATTGGCCACAGACAGTTGTCCGTGGTTGAGATGGGCTGGTGCACATCAGTGTGGAGCAGAGCAGAACAGGACAGCAGCATCCCAGACTTTTTTTATGTCCACACCAGTACCCCCTGTATGCAAAACCCTTTATTCAGCTGTGCTGACTGTGCCTCTTGTAAGCATCTGTCCAGCAGCTACCGCCCTATCTATTTTCCAGAGATGGCACATGGGAACTCACACAGGAGTCACTCCATGTCCTATCCCACCTGTGGTATAGGTGTGTGGTTCCAGGCTCTTGCCCAGTACACATTCCTCTGTCTCATCCTCTTGGTATTGTTCTTTGCTTCGACTGCGGCATCCCTGAGCTGTTTCTCCTCACCCTGCTCAATCCCAGGCCAGGACTCTATGTGCTTGGTGCTGTATGGGCCAAATGCAGAGACACTGCTTGCCCCACATGGCTTCCAAGATGATAGGGTCTGGCCAACATGCAACATTTGGCAGCAATACTGACACATGCAGCTGCATGTCCTCCTTTCTGTCTCTCCCTTGTTTTAGTTAAGAGTGGATGAATTTGAATCCAATGTCAATGAGATCAAAGACCCCTACCCTTCTGCAGACTTCCCAGGTAAGACTTGTCCCTGGCAGGGCAGCAGGAAAGCTGGGGAGGCACTGAGAGGGATGGTGACAGAACCCTGGCTGTGTGAGGAGTGAAGGATGTGAGCCTCCTGCAGCCTCAGGGTACCAAGGTCCTTCGGGCACAGATGACAAATTAGAGGATTGTTCATAAGGTCACTCTCTGGGTGATTCTTTTCCTTTTCCATCCTTGTGACCACCCTGCAGGTGACGATGAAGAAGATGAGCCTGAAATCCCCCTGAGTCCTCGACCACGTCCCCTTGCAGAGCTACAGCTGAAAGAGAAGGCTGTGCCCATGCCTGAAGCCAGTTCCTTCTTCATCTTCAGCCCAACCAACAAGTAGGCACTGACCCCTCTCCCTGCCTTGTGGAGCCAGGCCTGGCCAGGGTACCTCTAGCACTGACCCTTCCCAGTTAGGTCCTACTTCTGTGTAACAGCCAGCTCTGAAAGGAGCCAAGCTCACTGGGAAAAGTCTCTGTGGAAGGGCTGGAACAGGCATTCCTTCATGCCTAAGGCCTTCATGTCATCAAAGATTAGCCATAACCCTCTTACAGGCTACCATGGCCCACAGATGCCTGTAGCCTCTTGCAACATCTCATGCTGTTTCTGTCCCTGGCAGGTTTCGAATGCTGTGCCACAGAATTGTCAATGCCACCTGGTTCACCAACTTCATCCTGCTCTTTATTCTGCTCAGTAGCATCTCACTGGCAGCTGAGGATCCCATCCGGGCTGAGTCCTTCCGTAACCAGGTGTCCATGTAGCTGTGGAGGGTTGGGATGGGTGGGGGAGATCTCATGGAGACGCCCAGCTTCCCAGTAAGCAGAGACCTGCTTGACAGATGTCATGCCTAGGCAGGTAGCTGTGGTTTCATCCCTGCCTCTGGGAGGTCAGTACCCTCTGGGAGGAGAGGCTGGTTGTGTTTTCCATTCAGAGCACAGCTGGGATACGTTTTTACTGCTCCATGCCTCCGTTTACTTCTGGGTGAAGAGATCCACCTGACAGTGTGTGCAAGACTGACTTCATGCAAGGCTGTGGTAGCTTACTGGGGAAAGGGGCATCCTGTGAAGTGGAAAACTGGACCACTGCTGTGTGCAGCACCCTGAAATGCTGCTGGCATAGAGCAATGGCCACAGGTCTAGACACACAAGGAACAAATGGGCCTGCACCCATGCAAGGTCTGGCAGGGATGTGGAGGGGTCTCATGTGAGATAGTTTCCCAGGACACTCAGTGTTTTTGGGGATCAAATGCTTTCAGGTGAATCAGGTCAAACCTCACTCCCTTGGAAACTGAGAGCTTGGTCCCAAGCTTCAGGTTGCATCATGCACTGAGGAAAATCGGCAAAGCTGAGGGAAGTTCAGGAGTCTTCCTGGCACTGGGTTTCCAAGCTCTGTTGAGCTAGATGGGCTCCCCAGTCCACAGAATGGAGGGCAAAACCACATTGCCAAGATGTTTGAACACACTGGAGCATTTCCCGTGTCACCCAAATCTCATCCAGTTCTGGTGCTTCTGTCCCCAGATTCTCGGATACTTTGACATTGGTTTCACCTCTGTCTTCACAGTTGAAATCGTCTTGAAGGTAAGTCCCTCTGCCCCATGGTCCTGGCCATGTACAGGACCTAGCGCATGGGTCTACACTGTTCTGGCCATGGGCATTTGGGCTCTTTGGACACAAGCTCGAGGTCCCACCGAGGAGAAGCTGCTGGCTGATCCTCACATTCCCAGAGTTCATGCAGTCTGGGTGTGCATGACCTGCCCCAGTGGCCATGTGTCCCCTCCAGTGAGGTCAGGCAGCCAAGTCAGCTGTGCTGTGACAGAGGGACAGGTGGTCCATGGCATCAGCATTTTCATTCTGACATGCACTTAAGGAAAACTTTGAGAAAGAGAAAGCAATGGAAATCTGTGGAGCAAAACAGTAATTCAAGCAGCTGCTGCATGTTGCTCCCACTCCAAGTATCTTTTCTCTTCTCCTCTTTAACTTGCTGAATGACCAAGAAGGGTTTTGTCTCCAGCCAGTACAGTACAGAGGATTTCCAGCTGAAGTCAGCTTTCTGCCTGGCTGCAGGGGTAAAGGTCTGAGCAGGAGAGGGTCCCCAGGCCATGGAGCTGTGAGAAGCCCCTCATGCCCTGTCTGCCCCAGGGCTGTGGAGGGACCATGCCCTTGAGCCCTGCCTGGCCTCTCTCCTAACTCCTTCTGCTCCCCAGATGACAGCCTACGGTGCTTTCCTGCACAAAGGCTCCTTCTGCAGGAACTCTTTCAATATCCTTGACTTGCTGGTGGTCGCTGTCTCCCTCATCTCCATGGGAATCGAGTAAGCACCTCCACGCTTCGCGGGTGGGCACTAGTCTGCTTAGCCTGGCAGGGCTGCTGGTGTGCTGCAGCTCTCTGTGCTGGATGGAGGAGTAGCCAGTCCAAGGTCTGGGCATTAGCCCATCTGGTAGTGTCCATAAAGTCATGCTTGATGGGACAGGACATGGACAACTGAGAGGCAGGGAGGCAAACTCCTTGAGTGTCAAAGGTGACAATCTGGATAAGGAATTCAGTCTGGAACTGCTTGCTTGCCAGTGTCCCTTGGCCTTGTGTGGGGTAATGGCATAATGATACCTGCATGTCTCTTCCATCCCTTGCTCCCCACCCCTGGTCCAATGGCTGCTTGGTGGGGCTGTGCCAGGCAGGCCTGGGCAGGGGAAGTGCCTCATCTCAGCTCTGCCTTCCTCCTCAGGTCCAGCGCCATCTCAGTGGTGAAGATCCTCCGGGTGCTGAGGGTGCTGAGGCCTCTGCGAGCCATTAACAGGGCAAAGGGGCTTAAGGTAAGAGGGAGGCTGGGGGCCCTCGGCCCATGGGAGCCCTCATGGGAGGTTATGTGTCAGGCATCATGCCCTTCAGGGTTTGCAGGGCCAGGAACCCTATTCCCATTCCTCTTCTGTGGAAAGGGTCTGCCCCATCCCAGGCTAAAAAAAAGTTGAAGAGTGTGGGACACACAGCAGGGGCTTTCCCGAGGCATGTTCACTGTGTGCACTGTCCTCACCCTCCTCAGCACGTGGTCCAGTGCGTGTTTGTGGCCATCAAGACTATTGGTAACATTGTGGTCGTCACGACATTGCTCCAGTTCATGTTTGCCTGCATCGGAGTCCAGCTCTTCAAGGTGAGAGGTGTCTCAGATGGGCAGTAGAGATGCTCAGGCACATCCTGGACAGGCTTTTCTTATCATAGCCCTTGGGGATGGTGTCTGCCAGTGTTGAGGTCATCACAGGCCGTACTCTCTATGCTCTGCGAGGAGACCTGCCTGCACCAGACCTCCTGGCAGAGAAGCCTGCAGCACGAGGAGGGTGGGAAACACCAAGGATACTGTCAGGTCCAAACAGCACATACTAAGGGACCAACTGCTTTGCCCCACTTGGTGCCTCAGTTTTCCCTTTGCAAGGTGGCAAATGCTTATGAATTCCTTTGCGCTTTGGATGCAAAGTATTTCCTTGTTCGCACCACCACTCCCGCTGTCTGGGCCTGGCTGCACCAAGGCAGAGCTGGCCTGGCTGAGCTCATCTTTGTTCTCATAATTGAGCCTGAATTCCCAGTCAATGTGGCAAGAGCTTTCAGGACACCCTGTAGACTGAGCAGACCTGCCAGCATGTCTTATCTTTCAGTTGATTCTATGGTTACTGCTTTATTCCCTATTTTCCAAATATTTGTCTCCCACATAGGATGAGCTAGATAGATCTCAGCTCACAGTCTTGGAAAATTTGTTCCCATCACTAAGCAACGTTTGTCTTCGGTTGAGACTGACTCCAGGGTCTGCCATGGCTCCTGAAACATCCTGTGAACTGGGTTGTGTTGTCATGCAGAGTGGGGAGGCCAGTGGTGTGTTGCGGCAAGGCAGGAGCAGAGCATAGAGACAGGGTGTGGACTGACTGGGCTGTGAAAAAGTCAAAACTCCCCTGGGCTTCTGAAGTCACAGGAAGATTATAGCCTCTTCTGATCTCTGTTAAATGCAGGGCAAATTCTATAGATGCACAGATCCCTCCAAGATGACAGAGAAGGAGTGCAGGTAAGAGCTGTCTGCAGCCCAGCCCCAGCACGGTAGTGGCCAGGGAGGGGAGAGGTGAGAGTGGCAGGTGCCACTGCTGTTCCTGCATGGGAATGTTGCATCAAAAAAGTGGAGCTGAGGTCTCATGCTGTTCTCCCTCACCCTGGGGTAAATCAGAAGCAAACCCAGGGCTATCCTTCCCACCCAGGGACCAAAGAGCCCTAGGCCAGTGGTGCAGCAGGTGGGGTGACAGGGGCCCTGCCTAGTGAGCACTGCATCCTTTCTGCTGCAGGGGTTATTTCATCAACTACGTGGACGGAGACCCCACGCAGATTCGTCTACAGAAGCGTGTCTGGTTGCACAGCAACTTCCACTTTGACAACGTCTTCTCAGCCATGATGTCCCTTTTCACTGTCTCCACCTTCGAGGGCTGGCCAGAGTGAGTCTGGCTGTGTGTGGGGCCTGCCGAGGGATGGGTCTGTGCTGGGAGCAGGTCACTGCCACAGGCCTTTACCATGGTAAAGGAAAAAGAGCTGCCCATGCTGAGGAGCAGGGCTAGCCATCCTGGCAGTGGCTGTGGAGCTGACAGGGTCATCCCAAAAGCCCTGTCCCACTGTTTGTTGGATTTAGGATGTGCCCAGAGCTCTCTGTAACCTTCAAGAGGAGAGATGGTCTTTCCCACCTAATTAGGTTATTGCCTCACTTTCCCTCCTGTAGGCTGCTATACATGGCCATTGACACTAATGCTGAGGATACAGGTCCTATCTACAACTACCGTGTGGAGATTGCTATGTTCTTCATCATCTATATCATCCTCATTGCCTTCTTCATGATGAATATCTTTGTGGGCTTTGTCATTGTCACCTTCCAGGAGCAGGGGGAGAGCGAGTACAAGAACTGTGAGCTGGACAAGAACCAGGTAATGGGACTGCTGTGACAGGGCAAGGTGGACCAGCCCTGGATCTGGGGCTGGCTGATTTGGATCAGCCCTTAGTGGTGGCACTGCTGCCACAGGTGAGTTAAACCTGCCCCAGGTTTGTTTGTGGCTGGGGCAGGGTTGGCTGGACTCATGCCTGGTATGACACAAGCCTTCTAAGGGAAGGGCAGAGTGGACCAGAACCAGGAGTGGGTCTTCTGGTGCTGGCAGGGTGCCCAGAATGAGCTGGAGCAGAGGATTGTGCCCAGTTCTGGGCTCCCCAGTACAAAAGTGACGGGGAGTGGGACCAGCAAAAGGCCACTGACATGACCAAGGGTCTGCAGTATCTGTCATACATGGAGAGGCTGAGAGCTTAGTCTGTTTGGTGTTGAGAAGGCTCATGGGGATCTTAGCTATCTGTATAAATACATAATGGTAGGGTGTAAAGAAGATGGAGCCAGGCTCTTTTCAGTTGTGCCCAGTGACAGGACAAAAGGCAGTGGGCAAAAATTTAAGAAAACAAGAAATTCTATTTAAACAAAAAAACCTTCTATCTTATGGTGAAGAGGGTCAAGCACTGGAACAGGTTGCCCAGAGAGGTTGTGAAGTCTCCATCTTGGGAGGTATTCAAAACCCAGCTGGACACAGTCCTTGACAATGTGCTCTACCTGGTCCTGCTTTGGGCAGGGAACTTTGACTAGACCATCTCCAGAGGTGCCTACCACTGTCAGCCCTTCTGTGATGCTGTCATGCTCTGGTTCTGGCTGGAGACACCAAGGCTGAAAGGAGCAGAATCTAGACCGGCATTGGCAGAGGATGTGACACACGCTGGGGAGGACAGCTAACTAGAAAGGGAAGTCTGCTGGCCCGAAGAGGCACTGGCAGCCTCCTGTGCTGAGCAAGCCTGCAGAGGCATCCTGGGCACCTTGAGCTGAGGGTGCCTGGGGTGATGTGAATCATAGAATCATAGAATGGTTTGGGTTGGAAGGGACCTTAAAGACCATCCAGTTCTAACTTCCCTGCCATGGGCAGGGACACCTTCCACTAGACCAGGTTGCTTCAAGCCTCGTCCAGCCTGGCCTTGAACACTTCCAAGGATGGGGCATCCACAGCTTCTCTGGGCAACCTGCTCCAGTGCCTCACCACCCTCTCCATGAAGAATTTCTTCCTGATATCTAATCTAAACCTCCCCACTTTCAATTTAAACCTGTTACCCCTTGTCCTGTCACTACAGGCCCTTGTAAAAAGTCCCCTGTAGCCCCCTTCAGGTACTGGAAGGCTGCAATGAGGTCTCCCCGAAGCCTTCTCTTCTCCAGGCTGAACAAGCACAATTCTCTCAGCCTTTCTTCATAGAGACGGTGATCCAGCCCTCTGAGTGTCTTTGTGGACATCCTCTGAACTTGCTCCAACCTGTCAATGTCCTTTGTATTTTGAGGGCTCCACAGCTGGACACAGCACTCCAGGTGGGGTCTCACAAGAGCAGAGGGGGAAAATCACCTCCCTCACCCTGCTGGCCACACTTCTCCTGATACAGCCCAGGATACGGTTGGCTTTTTGGGCTGTCGGTGACAAAGATGTTAAACAGCACCAGTCCTAATACCAACCCCTAAGGAATGCCACTCATCACTGGTCTCCACCCAGACATAGAGCCATTGACCACAACTCTTTGTGACCATCCAGCCAGTTCCTTATCCAACAGATGGTCCATCTGTCAAATCCATGTCTCTCCAATTTAGAGACAAGGGTGTCGTACGGGATGGTATCAGATGCTTTTCACAAGTCCAGGTGGATCACATCGGTTGCCTGTCCTCTATCCACCAAGGTCATGACCCCATCATAGAAGGCCACCATATTCGTCAGACACAATCAGCCGTTGGTGAGGCCTTGTTGGCTGTCACCAATCGCCTCCTCATTCTCCATGTGCCTCAGCATGATTTCCAGGAGGATCTGCTCCATGATCTTGCTGGGCACAGAGGTGAGACTGACTGGCCTGTAGTTCCCCGGATCCTCCTTTTTTCCCTTTTTAAAGATGGGGGTTATGTTTCCCCTTTTCCAGTCAGTGGGAACTTCACCAGACTGCCACGACTATTCAGATATCATGGATAGAGGTTTCACAAC